ATCACCGCCTGCTTGCCAGGAGCAGTGGCCCCCTGAGGCCAGTTTCCCCCCTGGGCGTACTTGGCTAAGGTGATGAGCCCCACGTTGTTCTCGGGGTTACTGCGGGTTTTCGAGTGGCACACAATGTTGACAGCATCTTGCTGGGCTTGCAAGCGAGTGGGTAAGAAGTCTCCATTCCTCATGTACTCGCTGTTGTCAACGCTGAAACAGAGAGGAGGGTGTCAGCTTGTGAAACAGTTGAGGTTTATCCCCAAAACGTGTTTTTCAGGACAGCACACCTAAGGTCACACAGCTGGGGACACGCAGCAGGACACGGACGTTTCCCGGGACAGAGACACGAGTCGTCTCTGCGTTTCCCTGAGTTTTCAGATCAGATCCGACCTTTGGATCGCAGGACAAACGCTGGGACCCCTGCCACAACGGCTGAGCAGCCGGCTTGGAGCTGGAAGCTCCCGCTCCTTGCTGAAGAGCAGGAGAAGCAGCTGCGGCCAGACACAACCTCAGACCCACGTCTCCTTGATACCTTCTTCCATCTCCACAACAACAAAAAACACCAAGAGGCACCGCTCCATGGTAAAGCGCAAAGCTCCACACTCATCATCACCGCGGAGTTTTCATCAGGACAAAAAGCAGCGTTCCCAGGGCAGGGACGGCAGGCACTTTCCAAACACGGCTCTGCTCCGCCGGCGCGGTGCCTTCCTCGAAGCAACACGGCGACGAGCCGAACCCCCGAGCCCCACAGCCCGGCTTTAACATCCTACACCCGCGGTGGGTGCCAGGGCCTCCACGAACCGCACAGCACGTGAGCAACAGTGCCCCGCAGCGTCTAACTGCAGCAGCCACATCGCAGCATCGCTGTAATTAAATCCCTACCCTCCACTCCGTCGGCTATTAAATATACCACAGGACAGGCAGAAAAAGCCCTTCTCTTACGCTGGCCTTCAGGAAAGTGACCCCAGGAAGGAGGACTAGTTAAATAAGAGCTTGAGAGTTTATTTTGGCCCCAAATTAAGACTTTCCTTAGGAGTACTCCCAGAGTTTTTTTAGTCTTAACACCAGGAGAAACGTTTCTTCTGAAAAAAACAAAAACAAACCCAAAAAACACCTGTAACTGTTTCCCTGACCCTACAGCCATGGGTTCCCCGCTCAGGACTGGCTCGGGCTCGTGCTGGGCCACCTCTCCTCTGGCCCAGACCAAATACCCCATCACGAGCTGCGTGCTGGGGAGCGAGAAGGCAGCAGTGGCTGAACTTCATTTCAGGCGCAAAGACACAAAGCGACCTCGCGAGGCCATCCAAACTGCAGCTCGCTGTTCACGGAGTAATAGCGAATTCCTCACGCTCTCCAGGACAACACAAGGAGCAGCGACACGTTTTAATGCCCTTAAACATGAGTAAGCAAAGAGTTACCCTAACAAAACATCAAGGACTTCGATATACGGTCAGCGAGTCAGGCTACGGTAATATCTTTATCCAAACGGCTACAGGACTATGTAGAGAGCCAAGGAAACAACAGAACCTGGACAGATTTCACTGGTTTTCTCTATCGCGGCCTTCTTAAACACCAAAACACAACAGGACTGTAGCTGCTGTGATAATAATGACACCAAAGTTCACCTCCGCTTCCAGCCCTGGCTGCATTTGGCACCCAGGGACAAAACCCTCTTACCTCAACACCGATGCTGAGCAACAATAAGAGATGTCAGCCGCTTCACGCAGGACCGCCCGAGCACCGACCCACCGCGCCCCAGCCCCAGAGGTGCCGGGTAAGGCCCCAAGCTCGAGGGGCCGACCCTCCCCGGGCCGCAGGTACACCCGCCCAGCGCTCCAGCAGGGCCAGGGCCACACTGTTCAGGTCCGTGCCCCGGCTCTCCTCCACCAGGATGTGATCCCAGTTTGTTGCCGCAGCATCGCCTGGCACCGCGTCACACCAGAGCCCCATCGGAGACGTATGCCCCATCGCCGTCATCGGGGTCTCCTCTGCCCACACCTTGTCAGCCTCCCCCTGCCCGTTAGCGCCTGCAAGAGCCCTTTCACCCTGCTCTTGCCTCCTCACCCCCCTCCGCTCAGCCAGGAGCCTTCCCCACCAACAGACCCCTCCTCACTCCAGCCTGTCCTACCTACCCCCTCCCTC